TTAGTTTCCTTCCAGGCTCCAGCAGAGATGTGGGTACTGGGTTTAGTTTCCTTCCAGGCTCCAGCAGAGTTGTGGGTACTGGGTTTAGTTTCCTTCCAGGCTCCAGCAGTGTTGTGGGTACTGGGTTTAGTTTCCTTCCAGGCTCCAGCAGAGTTGTGGGTACTGGGTTTAGTTTCCTTCCAGGCTCCAGCAGAGTTGTGGGTACTGGGTTTAGTTTCCTTCCAGGCTCCAGCAGAGTTGTGGGTACTGGGTTTAGTTTCCTTCCAGGCTCCAGCATAGTTGAGGGTACTGGGTTTAGTTTCCTTCCAAGCTCCAGCACTGTTGTGGGTACAGTGTTAAGTTTCCTCCCAGACTCCAGAAGAGTTGTGGTTACAGGGTTAAGTCTCCTTCCAAGCTCCATAACCATTCTCACAGGTCAAGGTATAGTTATGCGTATAGTAAAAGAAGTTCGTATAAAGTGCCTGAAGTGAACCGCTCTGGAATATTGACAAAAGGACCGAGAGTTTTGTTCGTGAGCGATGATCCTCATCAGAGCTCACGCAAGCATTTTATACATGAACAGATGAAATTCATTAAATGCCGGTGACCTTGACAAAGGGAGCAATACCTATGCCGCACTTAGTGCGCTCCTTTGTACGCTAGGCTTTGCAGTAATTTCTGGAGAATGTTAGTCATTGAGGCATAACGGTTCTCAACAGAATTACATACAATGTACCTGACGAGAATCCTAGCCACTAAGATATACATGTATTACATATATATCGCCTGTGTTTTTCATCTTGGGTATACCTGGAGAGGGTTTCTGGGATCAACGCCCCCGCGGCCCGGTCTGAGATCAGGTCTCGTGGTGGGTCAGGGACTGATCAACCATGCTGTTACTGCTGGATACGCTCAAGCTAACGTACGAACCACAGCCCGGCTGGTCAGGTATTGACTTTAGGTGCTTGTCCAAGTAACGCGGATATTTTTAAACATTTCCGCCAAGTTTCTGCCTTATCACGTAAAATTTCGTGAAGCTGACAAAGAAGCAGTGTCCACGAGGAAACAAGTAGTGGGTGTTGACTAAATATTACGTACAGCAAGACTTGCCTATATATGAAGTATATTAAGACTAGTTATGCAACCCAATTCCCCAGATCATAATTTTTTTAAAGGAGTAAATATTTTTCAGAAACTGAGGCAGCTGGGGCACTTCTCAACGTATATCAAACAATTACTGGTAATATTTCTGGTCAAATAGCATTCATCATCGACCAGTGTTGTCAAGTCAAGACCACAAATCATTTTGCAACATATCAAAGATTGTTTGCGTGTTTACTTGTAGTTTTATCTGTCGTCATTACTCCTTGAATTTAATATTTTTCCGTCGTGCGAACAATTATTTTTGATATATCTATGTGTCTGAACCTTACGTGTTTAGCGCTTCACATGACTAAAATATTAATGATCGAACAGCAGAAATGTTAGTTTATGTACGTATATATCAATATATATATATATATATATATATATATATATATATATATATATATATATATAATATATATATATATATATATATATATCAATATATATATATATATATATATATATATATATATATATATATATATATATATATATATATATATATATATATATATATATCATGGATTTGTGAAACAGGAAGCAGGTGCACAAATTTGTAAGTCTGCCGCTCTTCCAACCATGCTAACATGCTAATGCTAACTGCAATAAGGGCTCACACACACCTGTCACATATTGAACTTGAAAAGGTCAACATCGGTCATGAAAATCAACGGTAGACTACAAGTCCTTACAGTCTTGGGTCACAGTTGGAGGCCGTCTCTAACATTTCTCAGCTTGCAGTTCTGCTCTTGGGTCTAGCCCCAACTATTCCTTTCTCTGAAATTCTTCCCTCTCCCACATCTATCCTTCACCTATCCCCACCCCCCTCACCCCTGGTGGGTCATTACCAGTGAATCTCTTGTATTCTATTCTATTCAGCTTGCAAGTTCCCATTTGTAAGATTGGTAGAGAAGAGTGTAAATTCTTGCCTTCGATTTGAACCCGTACATTACAGTTTTAAATATACTCACACACGCACACAGATACACTCTGTAGCTTTTGTCTTATTTATCACAGGCAAGGGAGGTAAGGCGATCGTGAGGAGGGAAGGAAGTGACTACCAACAGTCGTCCTGAAGCTCTCGTAGGACATACATGTTTACCATAGTGCTCTCACGAGATAGTAAGACTTACAATAAAACTGCTGCGTATACTTAGTAAATGTGGCAGAGCTGTTATGGAAAGATGATGAGAAAGACAAAATGATAATAAGAGGAACACGCTGGGTAGTGTTTGCGTTAAAGAACATCCGTGACCAGCATTACATAGGGGAGAGAGAATGTCGTAGTTATAGATACGGAAAAGGCACAACATAGGGTGGATCACAGTGGTGCCTATGCTAACCTTCCTATGGTGTAGAAATATACCTAGTTGGACGAATCTTATTGTGGCTAGCTGGTCCAGTGGCTAACGCGACGGTATGGAGTTTTGAGACTCTCTGACCGCGGGTTCAATCCCGCTCGAGGCATGGTTTGTTTGCAATCGTGTCATTACGATTTCGTGAGTCATAGGGTGGATATGAGAGTAATGTAACTCTTGTTAAAAATGTATGGAATGGATGGTAAGATGTTTAAAGTCGTCAAGAGTTTCCATAAGAAACATAAGTTAGGGTGTATAGTTAAGAATATCTGACGTCACCTTAATTGATTTATATTTATTTAAACGATGCTGTAAGATATTAGCGTTATAATAATAGGGGGAAAGAGATGGACTTAAATAATAATAAACCTGATATAGAGTGAGAGTTGTCACTCCTGTTATTTGACGATGAACATAAGAGGAACACTGCAGCAGGCTTACTAGCCCATACTAGGCAGGTCTTTCTCAAACCCAAACCCACTTAACAAAAATATCTGCCCAATCCATTTTCACTGCTTCCCAAGAAATAAACTTTGACAACACTATTATCTCATGAGCCAGTGAAGGTGTTTGGGAATGTGTATAAAAAGATGTTGGAAGGGAAGACAGAAAAGTGCATAGTTATGAAAGTAGAGGTAAAGGAAAAAGTATGAAAAAAAGTATGTTATAGCTGTTTGAGTGTGCCAGCAGCTGTGTCTATAAAAATAAGGTAAATTATAATATATGAGAAAAAGAGAAAGGATGAAAAAATTTAAAAAAAAATATTATGTCAATTGATGCAAAAAGTGAAATGCATCAGAGCATACTGATGCTGACGCTCTTACATGAATATAAAGTATAGTTCAAGACTGTTGCAGCATAAAGGAGGTTAGAGGCATAAGAAATGTGTCTCAGATCAATGTGTGGTGTGAATATTGTGCAGGAAGTAAGGAATACAGAAATTATAAAACTGCTGGGTATAAAAAGTATAAATAAGAGAGGAATTTATTGTTCATGAAGAAAAGTGGAGCAAGATATGTTGATTATGGTGTATAGATCTTTTGCTAATGTAAATAAAAGAAACGTCCAAGGTAGGTTGTAAAGGAGGCTTTATGAGGTTGTGGCTTTACCATCCAGCAGTCATGTGTGAGTGTTAGATGAGAGTAAAGTTGAGTGGTTGTATGGCTATCACTTGTGTGAGTGTTAGATGAGAGTAAAGTTGAGTGGTTGTATGGCTATCACTTGTGTGAGTGTTAGATGAGAGTAAAGTTGAGTGGTTGTATGGCTATCACTTGTGTGAGTGTTAGATGAGAGTAAAGTTGAGTGGTTGTATGGCTATCACTTGTGTGAGTGTTAGATGAGAGTAAAGTTGAGTGGTTGTATGGCTATCACTTGTATAAGTGTCAGCATTGTGAATACATAAAGTTATAATGGAAAACTAACCAGACCTAAGTTAGAAAACTGCATATTTAAAAAAAAATGTATAATATTGGGGGATAATTTTTTACATCAAAGCCTAAAATGCTAAACAGAAATTTTAGTTGAACAATGCGACACAAAATATCAGTTCCTTACACAATAGCGACAACAATTTCATTCTAAGATTCCTTGAGAGATACAGTGTACCTCAAGTTGAAGATTTATTAAATTCTTCCGTTTCAACCCTTACTATGTAAAATCAATGTTAATTACGTGTACATAGTTTGATATTAGCAATAATAAATAACAAAAAGGCACAATACCGTGACTGGAACAATACACAAATAACCCGCACATAAAAGACAGAAGCTTACGACGACGTTCGGTCCGACTTGGACCATTGACGTGTGGTCCAAGTCGGACCGAAACGTCGTCGTAAGCTTCTGTCTTTTATGTGCGGGTTATTTGTGTATTTGATATTAGCTCTAGTTTACTAAATTGTCAGTTATTTTCTTTTCCGAAAATATTAAAAAAAGAGAGATTTTTTGTGTTGTGACTATGTGGCGTTAAATTATTATGCACTTTGAGACAATAACTGCTGTCGAATGACGGTGAAAATTTGTTTTGCAAGTTGACGCAATAAATTAGTTGGTAGTATGTAAATTACCTGGTGATACATAAAAATTATACACACTTTATCTGGCAGTACATAAGTTAGCTAGTAATACACAAATTAGCTTTTAATACACAAGTTAGATGGTAATGATACACAAGTTATCTAGTAATACACAAGTTAGATGAAAATACACAGTTAGATTGTAATACACAAGTTAGGTGGTAGTACACAAGTTATTCGTATTACAGGTAGGTTACAGCAGCCTCCCTCATGCCTGGCTTCTTCCCGTGACAAGTACTGCTGCGACTACTACGCAGATTTCTACAACTGTAATTCTCTATTTTACTGACAAGATCACCGATGTGATCAAAGTGTTCCGTAACTATAACTTTCTACTACAATGACCAGGTAGCAATGGAAGTGACTCTGAAGTTTGATGATGATCAGAGCGCATCGCAGATGCTCGAGGGGAGGATGAACTAAAGGAAACACCAAAGATCATGTTAAGTGGCCAAGAATGGAATTCTTCAGCCCTAAAAGATGATAATTCCACATCAACTGATGTGGCCATCAAGTGTGGCCGCTGGACAATAATAAGACGTCAGCAGGTGCTACAGCCTAGAGTAACTGTAATGGCAATGTTGATGGTTGCAGTGATCCTGACTCAACCACTCCCCACCCTGGCCTCTAATAACACTTGCTTCTACCATAGTGTGGGCACCATGAACAACACCATCGCCAGCGCCTTCGTCTACTACAGGAATGTCTCCAGGACGATGTGAGTGTACTGTTATTTAATATATGTATATGTATCTGAGTCTATGCATTGTTGACGTTTGACTCTTACACGCTGCATACACACACACACACAGACACACATGCATACACTTGAGCATAAAGTACCAAGTGATCAAGCTAAAATCTAGTCACCTGACTGGCAATAAATTTAAAGTATATATGAAAAACTGGGTTTTATAACCGAACTAGAACAACTTCCAGAAAATAAAGAAAAACCTTACTTCCAAGGGATTAAAGAATATACGGAAGTGATTTAAGGAATATACGGAGATTATGAAAATGAAGACAAGGTAATGGTGCGCCTGAATGAGTTAAAAAAAAAACGAGCTAAACAAAGGTTAGTCTGATGTCGAAGGGCAGAGTCGTGACAGAGGGACACAGCTGATGGCTAGCTAGTGCAGTCCCGTTGTGTTGAGAACAGCCACAATTCGCATGTGAACTATCTAGAGAAGTTAATAAGATTAGAATTTGTGTTGAACGCTTGAGTTGGGGCAGAGGAACATGTAGTTAGATGGTGTAACCAGAGTCTTACTACGTTGATAGAATCCACCAACTTCGGATGTGAGCAATGCAGGAAGACTTTTAACGGTTGTAGTCAGCAAGTGTGATATCTTTAGCAAAGTAATGGGATAGGAGAGGTTCTTAAACACATGCCAGCGAAGCAAGATCTGCAGCCTCTACGTTTTGTGTGTATGATTTAGCATTGTACTACCTTCATTGTCTTAGTGTACTGTATCCTTGTGCTCGACTACCTCGACTTACTGTATATTTTAGCTAGGTTGTATAACAAGCTACTCCTGCAATGTGTGTTTTCATGTGTGCTCGACCTTTCTGGGAAGATTGTCTACAGCCCAGGGGCTGTAGACAATCTTCCACTTAGAATATGATTATTATTATTATTATTATCATCATCATTATCATTGTACTTCCTCTCATTCAACTTATACTTAGCATAAGTTTAATGATCAGTAATATCATCACGGTAAAACTTTTATATATAAGTGACTGTGGCTTGTTATTCGCAGATGTTTGGGTCAGTGTACTATTCAGGGATGTTTGCTGGTAGCTTGGGGCTCGACCTCTGGAAGTTTTGGAGACTGTTATCTACTGGGGCACATTACTGCCCCGTCGACCACCACCAACGTCCTCAACATCACCCTCAGTGTGTATGTTCCACCACAACCACGTCTGCTGCTGCTGCTGCCAAGCTTGTCCTGGGCAGGCGCTCGAGACCTGTGCTCTGCCCACGGTGGGCAGCTCTTTGCACCCACCACGGTGGCAGAAGTAACTATAGTGTATAATAAATGCGGAGTATGCTGGACAGGTGGGTATGTGTGTGTTGTGTGTGTGTTTCTATATCTGTTATATAATTCCTACATTTCCTCTTATTCCCGTTCATGTCTGTGCTTCAATACTTTCTAAGAACCTTATTCATTCTCTGATATAAGGTCAATTCTCATAGTAACACAGCTGACTATTGATGACCGTCACCGATTCTGTAATATCCAGTGTGGACGGGGACTGAAACCTTATCTTGTTTTTAAAAACCTTAAAAAATAAATTACTAAGGAAAGTAGTGGCGAAGAACACTCAACTAATATAAAGTTTCTCTTCTACCTCCAGTCTACATTCCGCTCCCCTCCCTACTCTACCCCCCCCATACATCTCTGTCATTCCGTCCTCCAGTCACCTCCAAATCCTCTCACACCAAACCGAACCCATATTCCATTTCCCTAGGTGCTGTATGATCCGTACGGGTTTAGCAATCTGCCTCCCCTAATCATCTACTTCTTGTTCCCAACAATTACCTCCAATACTTTATCACAGAAGGCCAACTATCCCTGACTTCTTACCCGCCCCCACCCCTGCCACCCACATACAATCCCTTACATCACTGACCCCTTTATTTACCAGAAAAGATGAAGAAAACAATGAAAAAACAATAAGAATTTCAAAGATATCAATACCAAGAGTACTGAGGACAAAAACAAAACTGGCTCTCTCGAGAGGACTGACTGCCACACCTGAGTCCCTCATGACACTGCAAATGTTGAGCAGAATTAATGGTGGCAGTATTGATTTGTTTATGACACAATACATTAGAACCAGAAGAATGAAATATTGGGGCTAACTGTGTAGATCTGACTTGATATTCACTAGAGATGTACTAGATGTAGATGAAATTAACTGAAAAATAACACTTTCGTGCAAGTAATCATACACTGCCAAGCTCTGAAAAGAGACTAAAGGAGAAAGGACCCCAATGGAAATAAGTCACTCTGTCTGACTTTTTTGGGTTATCCTAGGTTCTCTACACATATACTGCTATGTATGATAATTCTATGTAACTGTATTTGTGTATACCTGAATAAACTTACTTACTTACTAAACAGGGTAGAAAACAAGATGAAGAAAATAATCGTATGGTAAAAAGAAGGGAAAAGCAAGATAACTCAAGAGACAGACTGAACATAAAGTATTAAGTATAAATGTTTTTGTATTTTATAATTCAGTGAAAAAATAAAATATAAATAAACATATTAATTACAAAAGCTAACTATAACTTGTTACAAATTAAACTTGATAGGGCTGCAGCACGCCATGACAAATGACGCGCTGCAGCGCCATACACCTGCAACTGATGCAAGCTTCTTAATCAACCCCAGACAAAGTAGTTATAAATGAAGTCTTTTGTAGGCTTTCAGAACTTTTCCGGTATTGTGAGAGATACTGTTTACATTTATTGATATAAATCATGAGTTTATCACATACGTTTATCAATAAAAGTACGTACCAAGTGACGTCGAATATGGCTGACACTAGTAAGTCATCTTACTTAAGTCACATGATTTCAAAACCTCAAAACTCTAATAAGTGAAACTTCAGTTATAATACTGTGACTCACCATTCGCTAAATCTGTAAAACATAAAACAAAAAAAACTTAGTGATTCAGGCTTCTAGTTTCACACAGGCCAGAAGTCTCCTCTGATTTCAAGACCGGACGGTGGATATTGTACTCCTTATTAATACGGTAGAGTGTCGGGGATAAGCAGCAGTTATTGTGGTTTCTGTAGTCATGTGCCAGGTTGTGTCCAACCAGTCACCCATTCAGGTATTGGCCAGACAAAAACAGTGCATAACCTGAGTGAGGGAGCGGCGCTCCTAGCTTCCAAAGAGCTTCAATTTCGTATTTCTATCTTGCAGGTTGGAGCAACCAATTTACAGGGGGTACATACATCACGACCACTGGAGTTCCCATGAACACCACCTCCATGTGGTATCCTCCAAACCCTGACAACTATGCCGGACTTGAACACTGCGCTCAGGTCGCTGGTAGTGTCGGTATGAATGACTGGCAGTGTCAATATTCATTATCGTCCTTGTGTAGTTTAGGTGTGTGAGAACACGACGTAGCATTTGATGATGAGATTGTAAGGTATGGAAATAAAAATATTTAATATATGTGTCTAATAAAATGTCAATATTGAGTTGTCATTATATTTGTTGGTTATGTAAATGTAAGAGAGTTGTCACTATTTGTCAGTTCCGGTATTCTCGTCATTACTGATAAATTGTAAATGTAAGAAAGTTGTCACTATTTGTCAGTTCCGGTATTCTCGTCATTACTGATAAATTGTAAATGTAAGAAAGTTGTCACTATTTGTCAGTTCCGGTATTCTCGTCATTACTGATAAATTGTCAATATTGATAACTTATTTAATACGTCTCATTACTTGTTCAGATAAATTGTCATAAACTGGGTGTTGATTTATATTCATAATATACTCACGTAAATAAATGCCACCACTAAGTTTTGTTATAATGTCATTATCGATCTTGTAAAAAATAGGAATTGTGTAAATATTAAGTTATTAGGAATGACTGGTTCAATATTATAAACTGTTCTACTTATCTTTTCCCTTCAGTGTTGCTGCTCCCTGGTGCTGGTGAAGGATATTGAGACAGAACTGGACCTGCCTTCCTCTTCCTCGGACTGACCCAGGTTACCTCCCATACCTCCATGATGATAACAAAAAAAGGCACAATACCATGACTGGAACGATAAACAAATAACCCGCACATAAAAGAGAGAAACTTACGACGACGTTTCGGTCCAAGTCGGACCGAAACGTCGTCGTAAGCTTCTCTCTCTCCATGATGATGGCTACACAACTAACAAATAACTCTGTTATAACCAACATATTAACTCTCACTCTTTATTACTGTATCACATGTGTTTTCCTCTCACATTCACCACAAGGCTGGATGCCAGGAGATTCTAACTGAGATAACTAAGGATAGGATAACGCCACAATGTTTGGCGAGACCGAACCTATCAAAACTAGCATATACTTAGGCACACTCCTTGAGGTGACACGAGACAAGAATCAAGTTAGCGCATAACCTAACTTTAAAACATGTAACGTGATACTGCATTAGATGTAACTAAATTATTGTATGATAAAATATTCGTGTTATAACTTTAGTGTAAGTAAGACAGTGATGGAGTAGATGATGAAAGTTTTTCTTTTTCGGGCCACCCTGCCTTGGTGGGTAACGGCCGGTGTCTTAATTAATAATAAAAAAATAAAATTATAAATCTGCTTAAAATTAAAGAATGAAGATACTTGCATTAAAACGATATATTGCCCAATAACCTTGATGTATATTTAAACAAGCTATAGATCAGTAAGCTTATATTGTATTTAAACAAGCTATAGATCAGTAGCCTTGTATTGTATTTAAACAAGCTTTAGATCAGTAACCTTGTATTGTATTTAAACAAGCTATAGATCAGTAACCTTGTATTGTATTTAAACAAGCTATAGATCAGTAACCTTGTATTGTATTTAAACAAGCTACAGATCAGTAACCTTGTATTGTATTTAAACAAGCTATAGATCAGTAACCTTGTATTGTATTAAACAAGGTATAGTAACCTTGTACTGTATTAAACAAGGTATAGTAACCTTGTACTGTATTAAACAAGGTATAGTAACCTTGTATTGTATCAAACAAGGTATAGTAACCTTGTATTGTATTAAACAAGGTATAGTAACCTTGTATTGTATTAAACAAGGTATAGGTCAGTAACCTTGTATTGTATTAAACAAGGTATAGTAACCTTGTATTGTATTAAACAAGGCATAGTAACCTTGTATTGTATTAAACAAGGTATAGTAACCTTGTATAGTATTAAACAAGGTATAGTAACCTTGTATTGTATTAAACAAGGTATAGTAACCTTGTATTGTATTAACAAGGTTAGTAACTTGAATTGTATTAAACAAGGTATAGTAACCTTGTATAGTATTAAACAAGGTAAGTAACCTTGATTGTATTACAAGGTTATAGTAACCTTGTACTGTATTAAACAAGGTATAGTAACCTTGTATTGTATTAAACAAGGTATAGTAACCTTGTATTGTATTAAACAAGGTATAGTAACCTTGTATTGTATTAAACAAGGTATAGTAACCTTGTACAGTATTAAACAAGGTATAGTAACCTTGTACAGTATTAAACAGGTATAGTACCTTGTATTGTATTAAACAAGGTATAGTAACCTTGTATTGTATTAAACAAGGTATAGTAACCTTGTACAGTATTAAACAAGGTATAGTAACCTTGTATTGTATTAAACAAGGTATAGTAACCTTGAATTGTATTAAACAAGGTATAGTAACCTTGTATGTATTAAACAAGGTATAGTAAACCTTGTATTGTATTAAACAAGGTATAGTAACCTTGTATTGTATTAAACAGTATAGTAACCTTGTATTTGTATTAACAAGGTATAGTAACCTGAATTGTATTAAACAAGGTATAGTAAACCTGTATTGTATTAAACAAGGTATTAGAACCTTGTATTGTATTAAACAAGGTATAGTAACCTTGTACAGTATTAAACAAGGTATAGTAACCTTGTACAGTATTAAACAAGGTATAGTAACCTTGTATTGTATTAAACAAGGTATAGTAACCTTGTACAGTTTAACAACGTATAGTAACCTTGTATTGTATTAAACAAGGTATAGTAACCTTGTATTGTATTAAACAAGGTATAGTAACCTTGTATTGTATTAAACAAGGTATAGTAACCTTGTATTGTGTTAAACAAGGTATAGTAACCTTGTATTGTGTTAAACAAGGTATAGTAACCTTGTATTGTATTAAACAAGGTATAGGTCAGTAACCTTGTATTGTATTAAACAAGGTATAGGTCAGTAACCTTGTATTGTATTAAACAAGGTATAGGTCAGTAACCTTGTATTGTATTAAACAAGGTATAGTAACCTTGTATTGTATTAAACAAGGTATAGGTCAGTAACCTTATACTGTAAACGACGTATAACTTAGTAAGCTTGTATTAAAAATGACGTATAGCTTAGCAAAAGCTTGATCCCTCTCTCTTCTCTTTTCAGAATTACACCAGGAAATTATTGTTTATATCTTAGGAATATTACTGTTTATATCTTATGCACAATAACACAGTAGTTTATCACAGTACTCATGTCCTATTTTAGCTACACTGTTTTTTGTTCTCATTTATTCGTAGAGTATAACAACTATTTGCATTTTGTTTCAAGCTTTGACCAAAGATTTTCATGCACATGGAAGAAATAAAATATAAATCTTTGAATATTGCTTTACTAATGGTTACCGTATTTTCTGGAATATAAGGCGCACTTTTTTCCCAAAAGTCTTGGAAAATAATCCTGCGTCTTATATGCTCAATGTAAGGGGTCAAGCGTAGATTTGGGTTACACTTTAGCAGTTGTTTACTAACGTTACTTTACATCTGTTTGCAAACATCGTGTTATATATTCTTGCGCATTATATGCTACACTAAACTGAAAACCTAAGATTGATCAAGGGTATATACACTGAGAGGTGTGTATCTCTGTGTGAATCCCTGTAGAGTTAACTATAAGAATGGAGGAATACCACACAAAGCTTGCTGGTTCAAACTAGGTAGGTACTTGACATCAGTGAGTGACCGGTCGCCATACTGCCGGTCAAGTGTTTGACGGTAATAATGTTGACCAGTTGCGAGTCGCAACAAAAGAGTGCAAATTTAAACCCTCTGTGACAGGTATTACACCTCTTTCATTATCCGGAAGGCACACAGGCAACACACTTCTCGCACAGTTCATCAGACACACATAATACAACTCTCACACCGTCCTACACACACAAGCAACACAATTCTCACAAGGTCCTTCACACACAAGCAACACAACTCTCACACCGTCCTTCACACACAAGCAACACAATCCTCACACCGTCCTTCACACACAGCAACACAATTCTCACACCGTCCTTCACACACAAGCAACACAATCCTCACACCGTCCTTCACACACAAGCAACACAATTCTCACACCGTCCTTCACACACAAGCAACACAATTCTCTACACCATCCTTCACACACAAGCAACACAACTCTCACACCGTCCTTAACACACAAGCAACACAATTCTCACACCATCCTTCACACACAAGCAAACACAATTCTCACACCATCCTTCACACACAGCAACACAACTCTCACACCGTCCTTTACACACAAGCAACACAATTTCTCACACCATCCTTCACACACAAGCAACACAACTCTCACACCGTCCTTCACACACAAGCAACACAATTCTCACAAGGTCCTTCACACACAAGCAACACAATTCTCACAAGGTCCTTCACACACAAGCAACACAATTCTCACACCGTCCTTCACACACAAGCAACACAACTCTCACACCGTCCTTCACACTCAAGCAACACAACTCTCACACCGTCCTTCACACACAAGCAACACAACTCTCACACGTCCTTCACACACAAGCAACACAACTCTCACACCGTCCCTTCACACACAAGCAACACAACTCTCCACACCGTCCTTCACACACAAGCAACACAACTCTCACAACCGTCCTTCACACACAAGCAACACAACTCTCACACCGTCCTTCACACACAAGCAACACAACTCTCACACCGTCCTTCACACACAAGCAACACAACTCTCACACCGTCCTTCACACTCAAGCAACACAACTCTCACACCGTCCTTCACACACAAGCAACACAACTCTCACACCGTCCTTCACACACAAGCAACACAACTCTCCCACACCGTCCTTCACACTCAAGCAAACAACTCTCACACCGTCCTTCACACACAAGCAACACAATTCTCACACCGTCCTTCACACACAAGCAACACAATTCTCACACCATCCTTCACACACAAGCAACACAATTCTCACACCGTCCTTCACACACAAGCAACACAACTCTCAAACCACCTTCACACACAAGCAACACAATTCTCACACCGTCCTTCACACACAAGCAACACACCTGACACACACTTCGCTAGGCTCACATCACTCACACTCATCAAGTTTTTATCAGGCAAAAAA